TTTTTCTTTCTATCTTCCTATTCTATCTATCCCACAACCGGGAACTTGACAAGGATCTCCCCTGTCTCCTGTTACTGGAAGCACAGATAAATAAAGTGTCTTATTGAGTAGCTGTCTCATCTTTTCAGTGAGAGGAGCGAGAGGAGCGAGAGGAGGAGGAGACCAGTGAGCGTGATGAATGGCCTTGTTCGGTCGCGCATCTCGGGCCCAGCTCTTCTCACAGATAAATATGTCCGCTGTTTACACTAAAGCTATCAATAGCCATTCCACAAATTGTCTCCAGGGGGCATTGTAATCTCTTTCCCGTTCCAAATACAGTTAAAACTCACTTTGCTTTTAAACATGTCACTATATACGTCGATCAATCAATCAGCGTGGTTTCTTCATGTTTTACACTGCAGCTAAATTATATCTAGATCAGTTAAAGGTGCGCAGTGTAACTTTGTGGACGGTCTGCCACTTGCTTGTCTCCATGGAGATGTTACTGCTTTGAATGCTCCACAATTGAAATAATCTTGCAACTACAACACTGAATTACAGGTGTTTTTATTGCTCAAAATACCTGTAACTTGCCCTGACGGTGTCTCATGCTGGTCTTTGTGAACTTGGAAAAGATTAATGCCATATTACGGAACATTCCAGGTGAAGCAATAACATCTCAATGGGCACCAGAAAGTCGCAGGCCCTCCACCCGAAACATTACATTGTGGATCTTTTAAAATGGTTTAAACTATAATTATACGTTTGGATTTAAATACCTGAGAACACTTGGCGATAGTTTCAAATGAAAAGGGACTGCATATGATTTAATATTGTTTGTTTGACCAATCAGTTTATCTTTATGTTTCTTATGTTTATTCCGAGAGGAAATGTGTCATAATCTGAATTCAAGGCTTTTTCTTTGTGTTGAGTGCAGTTTATTTCCAGACCCAGGGCAAGCCACAACCGAGTAAATAGTCTCGTTAAAAAGTGTTATTTTTCACGAACAGTTTAGTCCCGTTTTAATGGAACATTTGAGGTAAGCCCACAAGATGGCGGTAGAGCCTCAGCAATATTCACATAAGGCTCGTCTCGCGTAAAAGCTCCGCAAGTGACTTTTGTTTCCCGCAGAAGAACAAGAGTCGTGCACTGGTCATCATGATCTTTTTTCCCGGAGACAGAAATGATTGAATTTGTATTAGTGCGCGCGTGTGCATGTGCGTGTTTGTGTGTGTGCGCGCGTGTTTGTGTGTGTTTTATTGAATAAGTGGAAACTTATCCAGTTCGCTCTTTTTAACAAGGAACATGTCATGCGAGGGGTGCCACTTCTGTTTCCCTTTAATGACATGGCTGTAAAAAACAAAGTTTATATAATAGTTGGTTCGTTTTATTCAAGAAATTGTAAATAGACTTCACGACCTTGTTGTGTTTAGTTTGCAGTAACATTTTTGCCAAGATGTGCAGGCCTATGGATATCTAGTTTCAAATGCCATAAAGTGAATCGGGATATTAATAGGCTATAGTTATATTTTCAACAAAACTTAACGAATATTTCCTGGTGAATTAACTACGACATTTAATCTAATCCAAAAGGCAATTTAGGCCAGCCGACTTCAATAATAATCAGGACTCTTAATATTTTCAAGTTGAAGAACAGATTCGTTCGCGTAATTGTTATTACACTGAATGGACTTTTCATTGGAGGCGTTTAACGCGCTTGATTGGGTCAATAATTCTCCACAAAGGGGCAGCACACACTGACCGTATGGGCCTAACAAATGCTCTCCAACCCCAAATCATTCAAACATGAAGAGAGAAAAGCAGGCAAGGTTTTATTATGGGATTTCTGGGTTCAGTTTAGTTTTGGATGAAATTGGCACTGTGCGTAAAATCCGCAAACCGGAAATGACCGACGATTATTATTATTATTATTATTATTATTATTATTATTATAGTAGTAGTAGTAGTAGTAGTAGTAGTAGTAGTAGTAGTAGTAGTAGTAGTAGTATATTTATATTTCTTTATATATGACCTATTTTCTTCTAGTGGACTGTCCCGGTCCGTGTGCGCTTTGGTCGCGAGGCGGTTGGTTTGTAGAAGGCGTGATAAATATCCCCGCTGATCACTTGATTGATTACTTTGCTCAAAGGTCACGCGGGCGCGGGTAATTTCCTTTTTGCTCGAGGCTTTCTTTTCGCTTTTCGTCTATGCCGCCCCACTAATACAGATTATGTTATTTTATTTAACCCTTTAACAGCTGCGCACCACACTACTGAAACACTGCGCTTTACGAGACACGTGACGAGGAATGGATACAAATGAAGATAACTGTAATGTAAAATAAAAAGCATTTTAATAATAATAATAATAATCTGTAAAGACGTGGGCAGGTTTGTTCACTCACATGTGGGTTCAGATTCAATTAATTCTGGATAATTACAGCCCTGTGGTTATGGTCATGTGCGCGCACGCTCCGCCTCGTCACCGGGTCCATTGTATCATCATAAATAAAATATGTATTGACTGAGAGAGTGCGATATTATGCAGCGGCGCGCACGCTTGAGTTATTGCATTGAATAGAACTGTTTCCATTTAGGCTAATTGAGCGTATACCGCCTGGACCCACCCTCTCCCTCCGTGTACAGCGCGAGAGTTGGGAGTCTTTTTGCTTACGAGCTGCGCGCTGAACCCACTTAATAGCAGCGTTTATGCCATTACCGCAGAGGTAGAAGTGTGCTATACAACCGCAATAAAGGAGCCTATCAGTATTAACCTTTCCGACGGGGCCACGTTTAAACAGAGCGCGCATTAGTTTAGATTTAGATTTGATCCTTTTATAAATAGAAGCCGGTGGAGAGGAGGTGCGAAGTGTATCGTTTACAGTATTGAATGGGTATTATGGGCTAAGCCACGCCGTCAAATCGAACACAGATAGGCCTCGTATCTGAAATTAGGCTACATAAAAATAAATAAATGAACCAATCTTTAATGTCTATAACTATATTTACTAGACTGTTGTCAATTTGCATAGGTCAGAGAGGTTATCAATACTTCCAAGTCTCCAGTAATGTCTCAAAAAGCGTAAACATAAATTTGGGTCCTTTCTACGTTTTGTGTAATTGATGTATTGATCATCTGCTGGTGGTTCAAGTTGACTGAAGTTGTGGTTGCCTTGCGTCATTATCGGATTTTTAGGTTAGGTTAGGCTGATGGCATAGGCCTGCGTAAAAGCTGGACGCAATGATAATCAAACCAGAGTAATAAAAGTGAATTAGGCTAATTATAAGGGTCGTGGGCAAAAAAATAACGTGTAAAAATGCGTAGGCCTACAAGATGTTGTTAATACAGGCCTAAAAAGTACAGGTAGTATCCAGGGTAATTAGGCCTCTCCTGGTTTACGTCGTGCGTAAAAGTCTCGACTGACGTTGGCCTATCAGAGAACACTTTTTCGTTAATGACGGGATGAAGTCACAAATGTAATCACCTTGAACGCACCGATAATCGATAGCTCAGGTTCACAATAGTATGATTTATTGCGTCGTGATCTCATTCGTCTCTAATTACCTGCCAATTAACGTAACTACCCCCTCGACTGTTGAAAAAAACGTCGTTGAAAAGCCGTTGTTTATTTGCGTAAACAGTGTCGTATATGTCTTGGATTCTGACTTGCTAGACTTAACATTTAAGAGGAAAATGTAAAAGGAAAGAAAAAAGTCCATTAGCTGTTGGAAGTTCTTGAATCACTTTCTCAACATTCCTTCATAAAATGTTTATGTCATACCAACAGACTCACAGGGTTTTTATTGACTTCGCTGTGCCCGCTTTTATGAAATGTGGCATTTTCCATTCAAACGGCAGGAAGAGTATATTTCAACAGTGTTCCACCCACCGAGATGAAACCAACTCCTCTTTCTCCTCTTCTCAGACATTTACTTGGACTCGTCGAGCAAAAACATCCTTTTCAAAGCCGCTGCTATTACCGAGTGTTGAAAATTACGCGCCGACGTCTCACGCAGGGAGGCATTAATACTGGGCACTTAACGTATTAATAACAGTCAGCGACAGAAAAAAGAAATCAAAATAAAAACGCAATGGACTGAGCACTCGAATGGGCATGTGGCGAGAGGAGGAAACGTTTATTTATTTATTTATTGGTTAATCTTTACAATTATTCGAATCACAAAAATATAAAATGCAGAATGAAGTCGTAATTTTGAGTCATTATGGCAAAATATCTTGAACACACTGAATAAGGTTCAATGATGTGGCTCTAAAAATGATTACTTTAACTTCTTCCCCCATTCATTGTTCCAGTTCAAATACTTTATATTGAGAAAAAAATCTTTCTTTCTTTATGGGTTAAAGGGGGAGGGGATTGTCACATGCCAAAAAGTCTACTGTAACATAAAGAAAGAGAGAGAGAGAGCGTGTGTGTGACGTGCAGCTATAAAAAGCATAAATTATTAATAAAGTATTCCCCGTGCGTAAAAGTTACACGTGGCTTTTCAAATGTGATTAAAATACATTTGAGCCATTGTGGTTCTGTGTCTCCCTCACACTCTTTTATACCCAAACTTGAAATAAGTATTGATAATTAATTCTGTCCTAAACGATAACTCATAAAACTGTTAAATTTAACAAATAAACTGTTGCGCAATGGTCGTATTAATTTTGCTAGGGCTGTTTTCAAACTCGTCATTTTTGCTCGCACCTCTATTTCCAGTCACAAACTTTCGCCTGCTTTGGAGCGCACACGACTTGATATCAGTACAAGGTCGGAGCACTCTTCGCAGCTTGTCCCACTTTCTCTCTCCGCGCTCCTTTGGACATGCAAGCGCAGCGGAGAGGTATGCGCTCGGTTCGCGTCTCCTGCCCTCTTTACGGAACCGTACCGAAGTCATACAACTGCTGCTAACTTTTTTTTTTTTTTTTTTTTCCTTTCTCAACACCGGCGGACTTTTTGGCGAAGTGGTATTGGCGGTGGAGGTGGCAGCGGCGTGGAGGGGGGGTATGTGCGCATGTGCGAAGGTGTCCCACGACTGACAATGCTGGAGAGATAGCGCGTTTTGGATTGAGAAAACTCCCGTGAAAAAAGGACAAGAAGAAAAAAAAAAAAAGAAAAAAAGAGATACGAGGAGAAAAAATCCAAAGCCATCGACTACCGGCACCATGAGGTCGAAAAGCAGGGCACGGAAACTGGCCACGAGTAGGTGCAACATCACTTTCTATTTGCCTTTCGGACATGCCATCTTCTGTACCTATCGCTGTTATCAATGCCTGTGTCCATAGTTTGGTCCATCGCTCCGTACGGTTAAGTGCCGGAAAGCGCGAATAAAGTCGACCACTGCCACGATCAAAACTTTAAAGTTGAGTGAAGCGATGGGGAGAACTTTGTGTAAGACCTCTGGCATTACAATAGGCGGTTGCATGTAGTGGGCGCTGTAGTGTAAAAGCGGTGCGTGCGTGTGTGTGTGTGAGTGCGGTTGGGTTCAAATGCCAGGTCTTGCTGAGCGGCAGTTATTGCTTATAGCGATCGCTGCTCCAAAAGGGTTTGTTGAGTGCGTAATGCTGCTCGCCGCTGCTGCTCCACGGCGAACGGCGATGGAACGGACAGAGAGAGGGACTTTTTTTTTCTCGTTTTAGACCGAATAGTGACGAGAAATTACGAGAAGATGAGGATGTAGAGTGGCATGGTGGCTTTTTGAAAACGGAGCAAGGAGCGCTTCAAGTTTGGCACGCGTAATTGTCCAGCAGATATTTTTAAGTTGTTGATTTAACGCTTAAGCTATTTGTTTGAGATCAAATTGCAATGCTTAGCTAATTAGTGTGTATTTAGTTTATTGTAGTAATAATTTTGATAATTATAGTGCAACATGTCGAACAATGTAGGCTACTTAAATGGAGTTAGTCATTGGTTTTATTTGACAACCTGCGTTGACTTCATGAGTTGCAAGTATTTTTGGAGTGCAGAAATTTGTCTTAATGTGAAATCTTCCTCGGTTACGTAGTACAACGGAATACAACACAATTGCTTTCTTTTATTGGGATTTCATAAGTGGAACCTGGTTTCTATTATAATGCATTTATAGTTTTCACATTTACACAATTTAAACAGTCTTTCATTCAAAACAGAAAATCATCAGCACTTGGATGATGGTTTGGATTGCTGATTTTTATCTACAAAAATGAATAACCTATTGTATTATTCAAAAAAGTCAGTGTTAATTGCATTTTAAGCCAGTCTTGTCAGTGTCAAATACTGGCTGGCGATTGGAATGACCAGGAAGTTTACGCATCACTGATATACTGTACGCTCGGGCCTGGAAGCGCAACAGGCTTCTATTCCACTTTCTTTAATTGAATATCCAAATGCATTAAAGCCGTAAGGAGCTTTCTCCCAGTGCAGGGCCCAGAAGGGGAGGTGGTCCTCGCCTCTGAGATACAGCGGGTGTCTGTGGCCCCCAGCCAGCTCTGCACAATGTCACCAGTGAATATTCAAATTCCCAGACCTCTCATAAGGGCTAAATGCATTCAGTGTGTGTGTGTGTGTGTGTCTCTCTCTCTGTGTGTAACGTTGAACACGACCTGGCTAAAAACTGGGGGCAGGCGAATGGGCGGATGCTGCGCTACAGAGGTGGAGAAGGTGGTGTGCGCATGGGTTATAGTGACCACCTCAAACTTGTCCAAAAAGAGGGGCAAGGAGTTGGAGCTCGCGTAATAACTGCAACATCACCACATGGTTTTTAAATTTTCTCATTCGTAACGCAAAAGATTGGAAAAGGAGTGGATGCCAGCGCCAAGACATCCAAAAAATCTTGATTTCTTTGCGTGGAAAACAGAATATGATCACGTTTTAGGCATAAATCTTACTTTAAATAACTCAGGCTGCAAAAAACAAATTAGGGCGTTCTCCAAATTAGTAGGACGAGATATAGTGGCTATAGGACAAAATATAAGGACAGGTGGTCACCCTACATCTAAGCAGTGATTGATGGAGGTGCACTAATTAGCATCCAGATGTAACTCGGTGGAGAATGGAGAAAAAAAAAAAAAAAAAAAAAAGCCCAAAAAAGTTTTAAACCCCGTGCGCCCGTGCCGGATTGTGGGATACGACACAGCTCAGGGAGGAGGAGGAGGGAGGGAGGGCGCTTTGAAGATCCGAACGAACTTGGGTAAGGCCTAATTAAAGAGCCACTTAACGTAAACTCGCGCCAATAAAACCCCTCCGATATAATGAGCCCTTTAATAATTTGTAAGGCGTAATTAAAGTCACAATTAATCTGAAGCACGCTGATCCGCGAAGAGTAATATCGCGACCTACGGGCCCTTTAATTAGAATTGACCACAAAGAGAATACAATTGATCAGAATAGTCTTTTGTGGTTTGTTTAAAGTAACAGTCGAATTTCTTTGCGCCCTTCTCTCCTCGTGTCCAGAAGTGCACGGTGGTGGTGTGTCGCGGTATTGTGCAGCGAGCCGTGCGTCTGACTCGCGTTCGTCTGGCAGCGGTGGACCTCATTAAAGCTCTTAATAGATTGGGCCGTTTAAAAGGTGAGAGGGAGCGGGCAGGCGCGAGGGACTGAAATGGAGACACTGTTCCAGGAAACGTGCGTGCAGTGGCGCTCTCTGCCCGCGTGCGTCCTGGTGCCACAAGCAGTTTGTGCATGCACGTGTGGCGTTTACTTCGGTGCACCTTTTTTGTTAGTAGCTGTGTAAGTCTAAGAGTAATTTTTGACAGAAGTCCTGAAAAAACATCATAAAGTGTGTATTTCTTTTAGGCAGAAGTGGGTAGCCAAAGTGTATCCTCCAGTATGAGTAACTTTACTTCAAAATAATATTACTCAACTAGAAGTACAAAGTAGTGGTCCAAGAAATTATTCAGTTATGAGTAAAAAGTATTTGGAAAAGTACAACTCAAGTAAGGCTAAATTAAAGAATAACTGCAGGATCTAACATCTGATTTATAATTTGAAGTGAATGTAATTTGAAGAGCAAAACATCAACAAATGCACAAATCTGGTATTTTCAAAGGATACTTTATTTATTTTTCACAGACAGACAGAAAAATGAGAAAATATAAATAAATCATGAAGCAGCAAGCCACGAAACACAAATGTTCAAATCATTTAATATTGTAACATAAAGGTTTTGTCACTTGTAAACTTACACACAGTGGGAAGAAGAAACAACACTTTTACTCAAGTAAAAGTACTGTTACTTCAATTAAACATAATAAATAAATTAATAAAAAAATAAAAATAAATACATAGTAGAAGTAGAAGTAAAAGTATGCTACTAGAAGAAGAAGAAAAAAAAAAACCCTCTTAAAATATGTACAGTACAATTTCTTCAAAAAGCTACTTAAGTAAATGTAACTGAGTAAATGTAACTGGATACCCACCCCTGCTACATCATCGTTTTTTGTTTGTTGTTTGTTTGTTTGTTTGTTTGTTTAACGATATGTTCCGAAATATTTTGTTGGCATATTTACTTACATATTTACTTTACTTTTATATATTACTTTCTTTGTAATAGCTACAATATTTATTCCTTCTGTACGAGTTTTCAGTAATGCCCCTTGAAGATAAGCCCATTGCTTTTTTTTTTTTTTTTTATCAGCACTCCACACTATTTTATTTTAATTTTATTCCATATAATATTCACCAAATGTGTTATATAAGGCAATTTGAATTACTATTACTATGAATTGTACTCTAAATACATTTAGAACTAGAATCAGGATGCTAAACACTTTCACCTCAGTACTTTATATAAAGTCACAAGAATTTTTACTCAGTGTAAGAAAAAGTTGTAGTTACATAATCACTAATTATACTTGTCCAAACACATATTGTATTTATTTATTTTATTGTTTTGGAAAATATTCGGCCAGTTGTTTGAGCTGTAACATGCTTAAAGATAAAAAAAAAAGAAACAAAATTGGTGGTTGCTGTTAATCTCAAATACAGCGGATAGTTTTTTTGTACAATTTTAGCATCCTGAATGAGCAAATTGTTATGTGGTGCACTGTGTAACTTCATGGTGACCGGTCCGTTAATGTGGAGATCATAATGCTTTGCCAAGAATATTCCACATTTTGGCTTTAAACTTTATAAAGACAAACAACTGCCACTACCATACAAAGTTATAGGTCACATCTGTGGAGAGGTGAGCCTGCTCCGTGTTAGTATGCGTGTTTTTCGAGGCAGTAAAAACATCTGTAATTCAATAAAAAGCAAAATAAAATTCATAGCATCTTCATGGAGACAAGAAGGTGGCGCACCCTTCATAAGAAAAAGTTACACAATGCAACTTTAAGTCCAGTGTGGCTTAGGTGTGTCCGGGAATTCTACAAGTACCACAAAAATCACACAGTCTCGTAAGTTTCGTGCTTTACATGCTTGAATTCAGAAAACAAAATATGTCTTTGTTGTTTTGGGGGCGTTTGTGGCAGGTTGTATACCAGCCAGAACCCTCTCATCGATCAACGCCCCCTCCCGTCTGACACGTATCCACTTCTGTCCTCCTCTACTGTGACGAGAGAGAGAGGGAGCGCGGAGGGGGGGGGGGGGGGGGTCTGGGATGTTAATGAGTGGTCCTGGATTTTGGGGTCTCAGGGCTGTTAACAGAGCTGATGAGGTTAGTGGTTTGTTTATGCACTGTTGTCATCCACTTGAAGGATGGGCCTGTCCCGGGTTAGGAGGGGTGAGGGAGGGTGGGGGGCTGGTCTCCCATGGGTCCTGACAGAAAGGTCCCAGCTCAGGGGGGGATCCGCTTTTCAGCATGGTCTAAACTCCTCTTTATTAAATGTGGAGGGTTTCCAAAAGATGACTTCCTTTGATTTTATGATGATTTATGGGATACGTTATCTGGAGTTTGCACATTTTGAAAAAAAAAAAAAAAGTTGTTGTCGAGAGTGGATTTTTGTTCTGTTGTTCTAGGTTTAGAATTAGATCATTACTTATTTCAGAGTACATTTTAGTGCTCTTATTAAAAGTTCTCCTGCCCAGTGGTGGCTGCAGTACTAGGTTGCCCACTAGTGGTTTTGTGACATTTGAACAAGTGGAATTTTTTTTATTTTTGTTTTTTTTAATTCCTGAACTTATATTGGTTAAAGGTGCACTGTGTAACTTTTCTGGTAAGAGTCCAGCACCTGGTTGTGTCCAATGAAATATACTAGAAGGATTGCTTTTGCTGAAATGTACTA